CTTTCTTTTTTTGAGGTGGTAAACCTTTCCTGCTCTTGCTCTTTAAACTTTGCATGTGCTTGCAGCATCAGAAGCAATTACTGTCTACCTTTGCTGCATGGAATTGCCCCTACTTGAAAGCTTGGATATGACAGAATTTTGGAGATAGATCCCGGTTTAGTAGTCAGAGCTACCAAGGATGGATAGCATTATTTCAGGGTAGTGATTCCCAGTCTTTAAATACTATCACACAAAGCCAGGGAGCCTCTTGGTTACTTATTCTCTTTCAACCATAATTGCCTATATTTCTAAATTTAAAACTCTTTTGAGTTTAAGAACATATTTTTCATGATGAGTTTCTCAGCTCCTAGCATATTTTAGTCATATCTAAAAGCAAGAGACTAGGAAATAAAACATGCTAGTCCTTCCATAGCCATAAAAACTCCTTTGAACTTTCTCCTTTCTCAGAATAGTACAGGTAATCACTGGATCTTGGTTTGAGTCTATTAACTATACAACATGTAAGAATTTCCCAGTCACATTAATCAACCCCTCTTGCTCACGTAGCCAATGCAGCTGCTTTACTTACTATCACATCCAAGTCATCAAATTCACTTTCTAAAATACCTATCTATAGAAAATTCCCTAAGTTTGTAGAATAACTGCAGTGGTCACCAAGCAACGGAAACATAACAAATACTTCTTTTGTAGACTTAGCCTTCACCAGCTTATTGAATAGGAGATTTAGTAAAAGTAGAAACAACTAGTGAGTTCTAGTTCTTTCTCACTATAATTCAGCTGAGTGCTGAGAATCATGCTTAATGTTTTCCATTTAGTGATAGTAATGAGGATGGAGATATACAACATTTGCTAACACATTCTCGAATTACTATATTTTTTATTAATCTCTATTATTTATATCCAGAAAGTAGAGGGAAAAAAATCCATCAAAAGTTGTAAAATCAAAATGGCATGGTTCAATAGTAAAGTGAGATGAAGTTAAAAAATTATAATATAGTGTGACATTTAAAGATTAAAATGTGCCTTTAGATTTTTAATTTTATATATGTTATATTAAATCTGTTGACTTTATGTGTTCATTCTTAGTCTTAAAAATGTCTCCCTGTTTCTTCACCCCCCAAAACAGCCTTCCAAGACACAAAATAATATAAAGCATGTAAACATGCTCATAAATTATTATTGGTAACTGAAGAAATGCAAGTTATAGTAAATAAGAAAGTAAAGAGGAAAACATTGTAGTAGCAACACAATTAACATATCATTGTATAGATATCAATCTTTTTTCTATTTCTAAAACTTAATACTCACCTATTGACATCACTTAAATTTCTATTATTATAATATTATAATAAGCTAGGCATTATTTTTTTCATATATCTGATTATTTTGTTAAGTCTTATTCCTAGAATTGCTATTACTGAGTCAATACATATTGCGTTTTGAAGGCTTTTGATTATCTTCCACCAAATTGCTAACCAAAGTTTTCATCAAATGTATGAGACTATTGGTTTATACATCCTCTAACCCATTTTGTGTTGTTTAATCATTTAATAACTCCAAAGTGGTATCTCATTGTTATAATTTGTACTTTGATTAATAATCAGAACATATTCTTCGTGTCCTAACAAAATAGTACAAATCAAAGAGAAATTTTCATTGTCACATTTTTTTTTTAAGATTTATTTATTTGTGCCTACAGAACTGGGGCACAGGCCAGAGATGTGGTGGGTGAGAGGATTCACCAGAGACAGAGTGGGGAACAGAATAGGCAGATTGACAAAGTACACTGCTGAGGGGAGCAGCAGGTGGGTCAGGAGAGGTCTGCCATGCCATGTGTGTCAGCTTCCTGGCCAGGGATCCAACTCGTGCTGCAGTGGCTTTGGAGAGCTTCATAATGTGGTACTTTAACCTGTTGCACCACCAGGGAAAGCCCGCCACATTATTTTTAAGAAAGAAAAAAAAAATCAACACCTAAATGTTCACCAAAAGGAAAGCAGTTAAATAAATTGTGATACTTCTAAATTATATACTTCTAAACTGTGCAGCTATTAAAACATTAAGTATATGAAGTACTTTTACTGACATAGGAAAAAAACTAATTATATAATATTAGGTTAGATAATTAAAATGGTAAATTTTATATTTAATTTGATTTCTACCATACTGTTTAGAAGTATCAGAGAAATCATCTGAAAGAAAATATGCCAAAATATAATTGCTTCTGCATATGATCAGTGATAATAATTTTAATATTTTCCAGTTATAATTAACATGTGATTTTTGTGAAGAAAACACATTTTTGTTAAGTATACTACATAAATGACACAAGAGAGGAGAGTATATTGTCCACCTGTAATTGTGTAGCACATATTCTAAAGATAATATTAAATATTTGATATTGAAGCAGTGATGGTGAATAGATAATTATAAATAAAATTCTAGTAATCAGTTAAACAACCATCTGTCAAAATGTTAAAAGTTCCCCATGCTTGAGAAGTAACAATTGCAAAATCACCTAAAGATAAAATGATTTGTTATTTTTTAAGATTTATTATTTATACATACAGAACTGGGGTATAAGCCAGAGGTGCAGGGGCGATGAGAAGATTTACCAGAGACAGAGTGGGGAGCAGAATAGGCAGGTTGATGAGGTACACTGCTGAGGGGAGCAGTGGGCATGTCAGAAGAGGTCTGCCATGCCATGTGGGTCACTTCTGGGACCAGGGATCAAACTCACACTGAAGGCCAACTTGCAGTGCTGCGTTCTAACCTATTGAACTGCCAGGGAGGGCCCAAAAATAAAATGTTTTTATAATTTGTTTCCTTTTTTAGGTTGCTGCTGTTGATCTTCTGGTTCCTGGAGTTGGAGAACTCTTTGGAGGAAGCCTCAGAGAAGAACGGTACCATTTCTTAGAGCAGCGACTGGCAAGGTATGGGGCAGACCTAAAAAATAAAAATCGGAAATTAGGATGAGGCACTGAAACGCAGTCATGACAAAGTAACAGGAAACTGTGCACAGACCCCAGCATCTGACAGACCTGGATCTCAGGTTCTCTGTGACCTTTAGTAAGTTGTTACTTAACCTTTCCTGCTTCCCATTGTTAAAGACTGGAACTGTTATGTGAAACAAGGCCACAATGATGTTTGCCACTTACTATTTGAAATAGCTTTAGAAATTGCTTTTTTTGAAGTCAGTGATGAAAGAAGGTACATTTCACCCTTAAAGATTGTCTTTCACGGGCTCTCCCTCGTGGCGCAGCGGGTTAAAGATTGTCCTTCACTTTTCCCTTCTCTGCGATCTTTTTTATTTACTTTAAATAAATAATATCTTTATGTTACAAGGACATAAAGACAGATTCTTACACTGAGAAAGATTGAAGATAGGAAAAGAAAGATAGTACAAATATCTACTAAATTAGCATTTAGCAAGTAGTTTTCTCTTCCTCAGGTTTTCTACTATGTAAGGGTCTTGATTTAGCTATTGGAATAACTATTTAAACTCATTGTTTGAGACCTAGGAAACAAATTAACAAATATCCAGCAAATGTTTTAGAGGTGAGAGGCAGGGACTCATGTATATATACAGTCTGCCAACAAGCTACAATAACTTCCTAAACTAACTAGAGTTACAGATCTGTTTTCATGGTTTCTACTTTGCTGTGCCAGAAAAAAAAGACTTTCCCATGTTGAAGGCTTCATCCTTCACTCCAGATAGTACTGGATTTTGTAGTAACCTGAAAAGGCCATAATTGTTTAAAAATATCCTATCAAATTAGCCATTTGTAAGGCCTTTTTCTAAGGAGAAATGCTTCAAAAGTTGATGTTTTTCTAAGATCCCAACCCATAAATCTGTTGGTGAGCACCCAAAAGCAAAGGGATAAGTAAGTTCAGGGCAGTCTCTTTATCAGTAAGACTAACTAGCTCCTTACTATTACTATAGTATTAGAAAGTCCTGGGAAAATCATGGTATTAAAGTGAAGGTCAGATTCCTTAAATGGAAAGAATTTGAAGACTCTCTGAGTTGTTTTTTGTTGTTTTTTTTTTTTTAAGCGCAATAAAAATCATACATGGCAAGAAAGTCATCTGTTGAAAGATTAATTGGTCTGTTTTCTTTGCTTGCTTCCTTCCGCCAGGAAATCTTTCCTCATAACATTAAATGTTTACCTAATACTTAATAATATCCATATTTATCTCTCCAAATGGAAAGTATGTATATGTTTCTCTGAGTGATCTGTGATTTCTGTTCATGCTTTCTTTATTTTTTACATATCTGAATATTTCATAGTCCTGATTACTTCAGAAACACTGTAATTCCAAACATTTTTTTAAAGGGTTGAAATTAGTTTTAATGAGAACTAATGAATTAATATTTTATTAATGGTTCTCACATTGGCTAAAGCCAATCTAAAGTCATATAATGAAGATAGCCTTGGAATCTCTGTTGGTTTTTAAATTTTTTTTTTAGTTCTTTTTTTTTTCCAGTTACCTCCAACAAACCATTGTTGCCCACACCCCATCTGCTTTTGTGCTCCATACTCTCCACTCTTTCTCCTGTGCCCTCTGGTAATCACTATCTACTTTTTTCTGAGTTCAAATTTTATTCCTTCTATTGTTTGTGTATAATTTTTTTTTGGTATTTCTATACTGCAGACTGATTACTGCAGTCTGATTTTGCTTTTAGACTGATTTCACTCAACATAATCACCTCAAGGTCCATTAGTTTTGTGCCATACACTACCACTGCATCTTTCTTCACGGCTGTGTGATATTCCATTCATTAAATGCTCCAGGATTTCTCTATCTATTCACCTGTTGACAGGTACTTGGGCTGGTTCCATGATTTGGCAATTGTAAATAGTGCTGCTGTGTTCATAGGTGTAAATAGATTTTCATGTTAAATTTTTTATATTATTTGGATAAACATCTAATAGCATTATTACTGGGTCAAATGGGATTTCTATTATTTTCTTGAGACAGCTTCCTACCACAGGAGCTATGAATGTTTACATTCCCAGTGGATAAGAATTTCTTTTTCACCATGACCTCACTAACATTTTTTGTGTGTGGCCATTCTCACAGGGATGAAGTAGTATCTCAATGAGGTTTTAACTTGCATTTCTCTTAAAACTGAGGATGAGCATTTTTTCATGTGTCTGTTGTCCATCTTAATGTCTTCTTTAGGGAAGTATCTATTAAGGTCCTTTGTCCAATTTTTAATTGGGTCATTTGCTTCTTTCTTGGTGGACTATGTAAGTACTTAGTAAATTTTAGAGATTAACCCTTTGTCAGGTGTATGGTATACAAATATATTTTTCCCACTTTGTAGGTGTCATTTGTTTTTGTGATGGTTTCTTTTGAAGTAAAAAAGATTTTAAGTTTGTTCTAGTACCACATGTTTATTTTTGCTTTTGTTTCTCTTGCTGCTGGGGTGGTATTCCCAAATATATCTTTGTGGTAGGTGTCTTACAGTGTGTCCCATATATTGTCTTTCAGGTACTTTATAGTTTCATCCTATGTCCAAATCTTTAATCTACTTTGAGTGTATCTTTGTGCATGGTGTTAAGTATGGGTCTTGCTTTATTTTTTTGCATGTGGCTATCCACATTTACCAGCACCATTTATTATAAAGGCTCTCTTGTCTCCACGGTGTGGTCTTAAATTCCTTTGTCAAAAATTAATTGTCCTTATTCATTTGGACTTATCTTTGGATTTTCAATTTCTGTATCATTGTTCTGACTTTGTTTATTTCCCAATACCATACCATTTTGATTACCATTGCTATGTAATAATGTTTGAAGTCAGGAAGTATGATATCTTCACTTTTCTTCCTTTCTGTCAAGATTATTGTAGCTATCCAGGGCATCTTGTGTTTCTATATAAATTTGATCATCGTTTTTGGTATTTAATAATAGGAATTACATTAATTCTGTAAATTGCTGCCATAATATGAACATTTTCCTACCTATGAACAGAGTATAACTTTCCATTTCTTTGTGTCTTTTATTTCCTTTAATAGAATTTTATAGTTTTCTCTATATAAGTCCTTTGTCTCCTTCATTAGATTTATTCATGGGTATTTCATTCTTTTTGCTCTGAATATAAATGGAATTATATTCCTTATTTCCCTTTCTTCAGATACCGTGTTTGCATATAGAAATGCCATTGATTTTGTACTGCTTTGTATGAACTGTCACCTTACTTTGTTAATTTATTATTTCTAGAAGGTTTTTGTTTTAATTTTAACAATCTTTTAGTTTCTCTAAGCATATTGACATGTTGTCTGTGAATAGTACAGTTTTACTTCTTTCCCAATTTGGATACCTTTTATGTATTTTTCTTGCCTAATTCCTTCAGCTAGAACTTCCAGGACTGTCCTGAGTAATAGTGGTGATAGTACATCTCTGTCTTGTTCCTGATCTTAGTGGAAATGCTTTCAGCTTTCAACACTGAATATAGTGATTATTGGTTGTAGGGTCATATATATGACTTTTATAATATTTAGAAACATTCCATCGACTCCCACTTTTTGGGAAGGTTTTTAATCATAAAATGATGTTGAATCTTGTCTAACGGTTTTTTGGCATTTAGTGAGATGATCATCTGATTTTTGTCTTCCTTTTTGATTTGATGGATGACACTGGTTGATTCATGTATGTTGGACCGGCCCTCACATCCTTAGGATGAAGTGTACTTGATCATGCTGGGTGATTCTTTTGATATCTTGCTATATATTCAGTTTGGTAAGATTTTGTTGAGGATTTTTGCATCAATGCTCATCATAGATATTGGCCTATAATTTTCTTTCTCTATACTATCTTTTGTTTCAGGATCATATAGATATCTTTTGTTTCAGAATAATCTAGAAATGTATTGGGGAGATTTTTACCCTCTTAAGTTTTTTTGAAGAGTATACATAAGATAGGTATTAGATCTTCTTTATAGATTTGGTAGAATTTGCTGGTGAAGCCATCTGCATCTGGCCTTTTGTTCTTGGAGACAATTTTTATTACTGTTTCAATTCCAGCATTTGTGATTAGACAGTTTAGGCTAAGTCTTGGGAGGTTATAGGAATCTAAGAATTTGTCCATTTCTTTTAGTGTTTCTAATTTGTTTGCATAAAGACTTATATTTTGCATCACATCTTATGACCCAGTGTATGTCTGCTGTATCTCTGCATCTTTCTAATGTTAGAGAATGTAAGGTGTATTTGTGTCCCTTGCCCATGTCCTAACCACCTTAAGTAGTAGTAATAGTGCTTTTCTAATGTCACAGGACAGAAGCTGGTATCACAGGAACCCCTTCTTTTGGATTCTGAACTGTACTTCCTCCAGCATTTATTGTGTATACCATTTATTTGATTACCCCTTGATCTACTGGTTAACTTAACTTTCTTTTATTTAGTGAAAAAATAGCTCTTCAACTAGATTGTATGGTATTTGAAAGCACAAGATTCAGTGTGTACTTGTTTATAGAGAGTGCTTTACACACCACCCAGAATGAATGTTTAGTGACTAGTATATTTATTTAATGCTGTTCTCTGAAAGAAATTTGCTATTTTTCTTTACAGATTAGGACTAACAGAAATATACCAGTGGTAAGTCTGAGACCCTTAATGATTCTTAAGAGTTCAAGAGTTATTGTGAGAATGAAATGAAATATAGGTAAGGTACCTATATAGAGTAGAAGTTAAGTAAATGCTAATTTCTTTACCTTTTCCTTTATTCTGAGTTTTACTGTTGAGCCTGATTGAGCAAGACTATGTATCTCACCTCATTGTCTTTCCATTTACAAGATTATATTCACAGTGTATAAAAACAAGTTTATACAAATTTCAATTATTGGTTGAGTAAATTTAGACCTTTTCTGGTCTTTATTTATTATTTCAACACTATTCTTTCCCAAGTAAAGCTCTCTGACCATAAAGATGTATTATTTGAATCTGCTTCATTGTATATGGTAATCATGATACCCTAAAGGAAATGGAAACTTAGAAATCTTCAAGTCTGTGATCTCTGCTAGCATTCCTCCATATAATGAGTGACCACACCAGGTGTCCAAGAATTTACTCACTTCCTATTTCTACATGTCATATGTGAATAAAACCTGAAACTAGTTCTACAAAACTTGTACCATCACTTTTATAATCTGCCTACTCTAGAATCAGTTTAACAATGGTCAAATCCATATTCATTAGAAAGCTTATTTCTCAAAAGAGGATTTTTCCATTTTTCAAGGCAAAGATAGGAAAAAGTCTACAGACTAAATCCCTCTGCTAACTTCAGTTACCAGACATTTATGCCAGTGTTTTGACATCAGTGTATGAGAAATATAGAACCATCTAAAACTATTGCTGGACTTCTGGCACTCAGCTCAGACCCAGCAGGTGTTTGTGGCAGGTGGTTTGATGTGCCCTTCATCTCATTTTTCTCATTAAATCAAAGTATGCCCTGCCCCCAAGCTCTGTAAACTTTAAGATAATTAAGCTGCAAACATTTCAGCTACTCAACACTGTGTTCCTTCCATTAGCCCTGATAGTTCTAACTAATCTGAAGTTTAATATATCAGATACTCCAATTATTGATCTCTCACTTGGGTGTTACTCATATGGTTGCAATTCGTCTTTCCTTCTAGAAAAAAAAAAAACTTAAGTGGCTACAATATTATATGATTAGCCATTATTATAATAGGCAGTAAATAGATAATCACCTTTATTCTTGCAGGGCCAAATGACTATCAACCAAGGCACTTACGTTTTATTTTAGAACTGATTTTACAAATCATTGAAGAAGCTATAAAATTGTCTTATTCAATATTATATAGCTTAAGAATTCCTCAGAAAATGACACAGAAAAATTACAGAATTTTCCTCCTCCTATCTTAAAAATTATTATTTTATCTCAAGTTAGTGCATCTGGTTTATACCATTTTCTAATTCTGAGTGGAATTGGAATATACAGGGATGGGCTTCCAAGACTTGCTATCCTTTTAGAAAAATGACTCTGGATATCTTCCACTAGGCATGCAACAGAGAACTGGAAGTTCACTCCATCACTCATATTTTTGTGCTTTCAAATAGTATATCTCCATGTATAAGATCTATTTTATTGCAAGCACAGAATAATACACAGTTCCTGTCTCTAATTAGTGGTATCTCTTTGTAGTATTTATCAGGCAAGAATCTTCACTTTTCTAATTTTTAACACACTCAAGAATTAGAAAAAGGGGCCCTCCCTGGTGGCACAGCGGGTTAAAGCACTGCACTAAGAAGCTTAAGCCAATTCTGCATGAGTTCGATCCCCGCCTGCCCCGGAGGAGATCCACATGGCATGGCAGACCTCTCCTGGCCCACCCGCTGCTCCCCTCAGCAGTGTACTTCATTGATCTGCCTGTTCTGCTCCCCGCTCTGTCTCTGGTGAATCCTCTCACCCTCCACATCTCTGGCCTGTACCCCAGTTCCATATGAATAAATAAATATTAAAAAAAAAAAAGAATTAGAAAAAAGACTGTATTCTCAAGAAAACTGGTAAAAATATTAGAAAATTTTCTGTAGCCTTCTGAAACAACTTTTCTCTGTGTGAATACATAAATAATTAAAGAGGAAATGATCAGGTGACCCACATTCATGATTGCATGATAGGATTTGCTGCTGTTTGTCTGGGTAACATTGGACAGATCACTTTAACTTGTCTGTTTCCTCATCTGTCTGGTATAGTACAGTGATGTGGATGATAACAAATGATTACAAAATATGTTTAAAATATTAAAAAGTGATATAATGTCTGATCTCAATCTGCATTTATAGGTGATGGTTCTCTTTTTTCCAAAATCAGGTATCTGGACCTCCGTCGATTTGGATCTGTGCCACATGGAGGCTTTGGGATGGGATTTGAACGCTATCTGCAGTGTATCTTGGGAGTTGACAATATCAAAGATGTTATCCCTTTTCCAAGATTTACTCATTCATGTCTTTTATAGCTGGAAGACTGCTTAAAGAAAATCACCACATGCCAGAGGTACTCCATATGAATGTACATATAGGAAAATGTATACTTGAATTTTAGAAATGCAGATATTTGGGATATGGAATGGTCATGCCATAAGGTATAACATATGAAAAATAGAAGTGATCATGACTTCTTAAAAAATTGAGGACAATTCTTGGAATGATGAAGTCCCTCAAGGAAAGGTTCTTATGGCAAGTGGAACCTCTCAAATCTGTTATGTCAATAAGAAATGAAGAAAAGCTACTAGAAGAAATGCAAATGCCCTTTCAAACTCTAATAAGACAGGATGAAATAGTGCATTTACTTTGCTTTACTCATTAGATCACTGCCATGTGTGATCTTTGAGAAACAAGAAGTAGCTACAAATAAAACATTATTTGGATCTTTCTTCCCTTCCCATTTGATAAATTTCCATCTTATTCTACGTGCTTTCTAAATATTACAGAAGAAAATATTCCTTTTTCTCTTAATTGCGCTAATAAAGTTACTATTCTGAATTGAAATCTTTCATCAGATTGAATTATATTTAATTTTTGATCTTTTGTTACAAATGCTAATGAGATATATTCATTTACTGCTGCATTGTAATAGTTTATACCTTCTTTAATAATCAAAATCAATTTTTGATACCTATGAAAGAAAAATTATATTTCAAAATTTCATTGGCCTTTTCCCAGAGAAATTAGGAAGAAAGATATTTTATTTTTTCTAAAGATTTATTTATTTATGCACACAGAAATGAGGTACAGGCCAGAGGTGCAGGAGTGGTGAGAGGCTTC